TCTGTGTAACTTGTGTCGTTGTGTATATGTTGTGTGTATTTTTGTTGTTTAGTGTAGTGTTATGTTTAAACAAAGAACATTCAGTGTTTTGATCGTTGTCTTAGGCGTAGGACAACACAGTGCTTGGGTGTCTACAAATTTATGTGAATGAAGCCCTCCAATAGCCAGGGAAAACATTATTGTGTGTGACCATGTACTCCCAGTCCAGTGGAAATCTCGCATAACAACACCTGAAATAATAACATCAACACCCTTCTCTCCCCTCCTCCTTCTCCATGTCCAGCACAGCGTCTTCATCTCCGGCTCCCTTTGCGGACTCACAGAGCAGCCAGTTGACCATCGGGCTGCTGAAACCGCTGCTGAGAAAAGTCCTTCAGAGGGAGACCAAGCCTAGCCAACGCTACGCTGACATCCTCCAGTCGCCCTCGTTCCCCCCTCCTGCGCCTCCTCGCCAGCCCGCGGAGCCGCCTGGGGCTTTCACTGATCCCAGCACGGACTCCACCGCACCGGGTGTTCTTGCAGAAACACGCGAGCAGCAGTCGTCCACACACACAAGTGTCCCGAGGGCGAGGGCGGCGCTACCCGCTAACCCGGTGTGATTTACACGAGAACGATTCAAACTGGAGAACGAAACCGGTCACACGTAATCTGACTTAACTGTGAAACGGTGTGTGTGTGTTGACAATCCAAATAAAACTGAATATCAGTATCTCACAGGTACAATCCGTGTGTTGCAGTTAATGTTTGATGCTGTTTTTAAAACGATCGGTAATGTCAGATGAAGTATGACAACTAGAAACTATGAAATGACTACTGACGATCTTACCAGTGTAAATACTGCGGGTAATTTTAAGTCTTAATGTGTATATACTGTTTCTGCATTGTTATTTATCTCTTAAGCCTTAACTGCACGCAGACGAGAATGTTGTTGCATCAACTTGCCTTGAATAAGCTTCGCCTTCAGAATATCGTCAATAAATGATAATATATATTGTGTTAACACAATATTATGGTTACCTGCGTAGTCAAAAACAAAGCTACTGACTCCCATTTTTGGGGTTTATCATATCCATGCCTCTTTAAAGTAAAACAAATCGGATTGTAGTCAAGTGTAGCTGCCTTTAACTTGTTGAAAAAGTGTGTTCATGCAGTGGGTAATCTGCTGAGTGTTATCCAGACAAACTGGCCTTTGTGTTTGAATGTTTGTTTTAAGTGTGGTATGGTTTAGAGGAGGAGGGTAAGAGAGGTAGAGGTCCAAGGTTCCTTTACTGACTTCTTGTTTTGTACTCAACATTTCATACGTGCTTAAACATTAACCTGGTTTTGATGGGCGCAACCAGACCGCGAAACCCAAAACACTGTCATCCATTTACCCCTCTGGACTCCATCTTGTCCGGTCTTGCTCCCTCGCAGCTCAACTCGCAGGCCATTCCAGACCGAATACCCAGTAAAAGTGACTCACAGTTCGACCCTTAAATTAAATCTTGGAGGTAATTCTGTTAGGATTTGTGTGTGTGGGTTGGGTGCGTTGTGACTAACATAGGCGCCCTGCTGCTTGCATAAGGTCATGTAAGTCTTCCTTCATGGACCCGGTGAGGGTAATGTCATTAAAGATGTTAGGCTCTCTGTCTTCTTGCCCCTGTTCGCTTCCTCCACGCTCTGAAACGGGTTGCACTTTTATTTATCACCCCAGTCAGTATTGTTTGTGCATGCTTTGGATGCATCTCTTGAGATTGTTTTTTTTTTTTTTTCTTGATTAAGTGCTGTAAACAAAACTATATTTAAGTGCCTATTATCTTTGATGCCTTTAATGCTTTTCTGTTGGAGGAGTCTATATAGTTTGTTATAGTCAAAGAACGTGTGTTTTTGTATGGAAATGTTGAGCCCTCCGAAACAAATCGTAACTATCTTTGGGTGCGGTACAGACAACCCTGTGTTGAGTGACAATCACACTGTCTTTCACAGTGCTGCTGTTCATTTACAGGGTAGCGTCACATTCCTGCAGCTTTACTCTTATTCAGGAGAAAGAACTGGAGGTATATCAGAGGTTTCCTGTATTGTAGAATACAGTACTTTTGGGGGTTTTTTTGTTGACATTTTTTTGTTTGTTATTTTAATTTCAATATGAAACCCAGCTGATTTCTCACTCTGATCCGATGGATGCATTAGTAGTGTCATTCTAAGCTCTGTACACTTTAAATAAGCACGACAAAGTCTGTGCAAACGATTTCAGCTCGGCGCCATAAGTGTTGCTGTCTGCCAGACATGTTTGAGTCCATCTGAGAGTCACTGGAAACTCCCTAACTTCCCTAGACAGACACTCAGCCTGATGTTATGACTGTTAAGATGTTTGTATTGTATGTATTAATTTGCCCTAAACTCTGCTTTAGGTTCCTGTTATTGAATAGGATTTCCTCCTGGATTTGTTTGACAGAGTTTCACACTATTGCCTTGGTTACTTACCTTGCTCTGCTTTAAGCGGTATTTGAAAAAAAGAAAATGTATGCAAGTATTTATTAACAGATGCTATTAAACTGGAGATAAAACTTTTGTTTGCTGTCCCGAGTTTTACATGTTAAGTTTCTCATTCTGCATTCATACAGTGTAATGTAATCCATTATTACAGCCCTGTGTTGTAGAAACTGAGGGTCTGGGTGCACTAAGGTGGCATATTGGTGTTTTAGATTGCATTATATTGTGTTTTTGTGACATCCCTTTCTGATGCATGGGCGACTAAACAGTGAGTCTACATATAATACATTTATTTGTCTACTACCTTTTTTTAATGGTACTTCCACCACCAACTACCTGCCAGTCCCTGTTCCCACAGATAGTTGTAGTTCTGGTTCGTTCAGCTTGATCAGCAATTCCCTTTCACTGTAGTGCACAACAACAAGTCAAGCCAACAGACCACACAGTATTGAATCTGAAACAACTAAAATGTCAAGGTCAATATGCTCTTTATGGTTTATTCGTTCAGTTATTTACAGTTAGACAGTTAAAACAGTACTGATAAACAGCTTATTTATGCCAACATTTGAGGTCTTTGAGGTATGATCCACTGTCCCCATTTCTGAGTTTCACCATATCCCTTCCATGGACAAATCCACTTACAGCTGCAGTCTGATGTGTGTGTGTGTGTGTGTGTGTGATCTAGTTCAAGGATTTGAGTGTGTACATGCACTCAAATGTTTCCATGGTCAGGGCCCATAAAGAGGAATGTTCAGTCGTTACCCATTAAGCTTCTGAATCAGAGGCCGCCTCTTGCTCGGTGGAAAAGAGGCCTTTCTGATAACGGCAAAAACACAGAGAAACACACAGACATTCAGCGCGTGCACATGGCTGCCGGTTCGCAGCAAATAGCCAGGTTTCGCAGGGGGATGTGAGGGTATGATCGCAGGGGTGGAGTAAGTGTAGAGGTGGAGGTTGAGCGAAAGAGGCAGAGTGTAATAAGAGGCTGAGTCTTCCCAAAGGGTAACAAAATGGCAGAGCTGCAGAAACAGTCATAACCTGATACCTGACATCTCTCAGCCAGTCTCTCTATTTCTCATTCCTCCTCCCTCTTTCTTTCTCTTTCACTTAGTGCCACACTTTTTTTCTGCTTCAGATTGAGTTCCTCTGCATAAAGCCTCTCGTGTTACAGCGTTTTGACTCATGCTGGTGCTGTGCCACCATCGATTCACTTGTTCTAATTATAGATGGCATCCTGTAAACAATAATGAATCCAAACAGAGGCTGGCCGGCCCTGCCTGTTCCTCTGCCCTCTGCTTGTCTCTGAACAGCTGACTATAGCCTACAGAGCAGTACGAAAGAATGCATCAGGAGAAAGATAGCCGCATTAAAGGACATTTTCATCATGTATATTAATAGACTGAATGTAATTTATATTTCACAGCTCACAATTCTTTAGAGGATGGTGATTTTTTATACTTTATAGTTAATGGAGTTTATAGATTTAATAACCATACTGCTGCTGTTGTTTTGCTTCCTATGATTGGACTATAAATAAGCCTATGGATCATCGGCCTCATATCAAATTTGTGCTTTCCCCCAAAGGCTGTGATTTCTTTTTTAAACTGAAGGGTTGAATGTATTGTATGTATTGTATTGTATTATTAAGATGCAAAATAGTACTGGGATCTTAAGTTCCTTCCTGTGCTCAGATTACAAAAATAATTAATTATTAGGCATCCTACATATTTAAAGAGTATTTACAAGAAATAAAACAGCATAAACAGGGATTTATGTTATTTTTCATTTTACGGCCAAATCGAAGATTATCTGCCTCTGGGCAGTCCTGTTCTAAACCAATTGGAGACAGATTTTCAACAATGACTTGTCCTTTTAAGAGGAACAGCATTTTTGCTTTTTTTTACCTCAGTGCAGTCACTAGGACACTGTGGGGGTTTTAAAACCTCAGCCCAGGTGCTATAAAACGTTCTGTACTGTAGAAAACGTCTGTTTTGCATATACCTAATCAACAAAGGGAAGTGAGGTACATATGACTGGGAATTCCTCAAATAAAGGTTCAGTCTTAGATCTTAATTTTCAGCAAGCTCACACAATTTTCTTTTCATGTCACATGATTGGGAAACCTAGCGATGTGTTCATGGACTGTTGAGGTAACAGAGATGCGTGACAGTAATCATGATCACAAAGACACACCATCTGTTTCTACTGTAGTAAATTAACATGTTATATAAGCAGTGTATAAATGTTATCTGGGTAAATATGCAGTTTATGTAGCCAGTGGTGTGCTGATAGCTAATCTGAATATTAATGTCAGTTGTTAATGTCACTATATGAAAACTGTATTTGTTACTATTGCAGTGTTTGTTCAACTTCAACAAACTGTTGCAGTGTGATGAATGTTCATGTACGAGGACATACTGGGATACACTAACCATGAAAAGCACTTTCATGGTTAGTGTGGAGAATAGACAGTGACTGATCGGTGAGATTCCTCTCATGTTACAGTTAAAAGGTCAAAAAATGCACAGCAGACTCAGCGCAGTTGTTGATCAGTAACAGTTTTTACATACAGTAGTTTCCCAACAACAGGCAGAAATGTTAGCAACCTTTTGAGCACATTGAGCAAACAGACCATCTAAAGTGCTGTGTGACAGAGAGATAAAACACAATCGACTATTGAGTACAAAATAGTACAAAGTACCAAAATCATCATTAATCATGAATCACATCAGTCAAAATCAATATTTACAAAAACATATTTGAAAATTGTAACAAAACACTTTCATTGTGTAGTTTGCAACATACATTTGTCACACAAAATAGTGTATTAATCTCATGATTCTTTCAATACATTGTTCTTTGATTTCAAATACAAGTGCAAGTATAAAAAAGTGATTAAAAAGTGGTTTTCCGTTAGAACGAGATCGTCAAATCCCTGCAGTATACAAACAGAAGCAGTTGGCACAGTAACGCACGGCTGCATTTTCTGACAGCTCTGCATCAACATAACTATATATAAATGCGATCAACTCTCAACAAAAATCTGTTTTATAATTTGAAATATGGAACATATATTTTCAGAATCCAGCAGCAGCTCATACAAATCATTTATGTTATACAGTAAGTAAAAGAAATCCCTTTGAAATTTGATATAAAATGAAGAAAAATTCCCTGAAGATTCCATTACGCCCTGTGTCCCCCCTGAGGTCAGTTCTAACACGCTGCGTGTGGTGTATGTAATGTATTGTATCACCACTGTAGTCCCTTAATAAATGGCTTTGCTTCTCCACCTTTTGGAGAAAATTGGAATCAAAAAGACACAAGTAGGTAACCTAACTAGTCTTTTCAGTTTGAGACTTTCCACCAGAGTGACATTTGCCACGTCTGTGCAGGAGTGTACCATGTGTTTTTATTTTGCCCAGCGATGCCGAAGCCTGGAGTCTTTTAAAGCTGTATCGCGGATATGCTGTCTTCTCAGGTGAATTTCATCTGGGCACGTGGGATGTGGTTCATGATTATGTGGTCGCTGGAAATAGAGACATTAACGGTGGTCAAAGGCAGGCCAGCACAGTCAAATGAATCTTGCACAGCATGCGTTTTGAAGTAAATAGATCTAGAAGTTGCATGTTTGTTAGTCTTTTTTGGTTGTGCTACTTACTCAAACACATCAGAGTACTTCATTCTCCTGTAGTACTTGGCTAGTTTCATAGAAAATATGATGCTGGGGATGAAGAAGATGATGCACCAGCCCAGACTAAACCAGAACGCATTCTAAAGAAAAGCATGGGTGAATAATATGCAGAACTGATCAACAGGTAAATGATTTATTACAGTTTTGACAAACATTTCAATTCATCTGTAGGTGGAGCTAATAATTTCTGATCCTCACCAGAGACTCCACAATTTGTGAGCAGAGGACAATCTCAACAGAGTTCACAACTCCTGCCACCGGCCCACAGCGGCCCACCTGCTGTGTGATCTGAAGGAGAAAACACATCAGTAACAGTGAACTCATATGTGTACACAAACATGGAAACATACTTTATCTGCTTTAAGTGAATGCACGGTATGTTCAAAAAATCTGAGTAGGCTGTACCGTGACGTTGGCCCAATTAGCATAAACAATGAAGAAATTGAGCTGACAGTCCACAAACTTTCTGCTTTCCTGGGATCGAGGGATAGAGAGAGAGAGAGAGAGAGAGAGAGAGAG